GGCAAATACACAAGCAAAAAGCTCACCATGCACCATACAAGCTGATGTCTGAGAAAGAACCTTTTCTGCTCTGGTTATAGACCCCTCCAGAGAAGTCAAATCTTTTGGTCCCTAGGACCTCCACCTCCTCAGGCTTTCAAAAGCCCCCAGGCTCTTCTCCCCTGGCACTCTGCTGCCTGGCCATCCACAATAACACCGGCTAGTGCATGTGGAATGGCCACTGGGCTAAGGCTTCACCTGCTGCCCCACCTGAGTCTTCCAAGTTGATACAGGCAGGATCTCCATCTAACGGAAAGAGAAACTGAGGTTTAGAGAGGTCCCCTGCCCCAGTGGTGACAGAAACACTTCCTGGAAGTTGAACCCTTGTGTACCTGCCTCCAAACTACACCATTAGCTGGTCTCCCCACTCAACCATCCCCATGCTAAACTTAGTCACCTTCCCCTTGATTTCTGACCTTACATTCAACTTATCCTTCTGGGTATTTTAATAGTTCACCAAATATACAATTACTGTATTACTCTTTCTTTCTTATTTAGATTACATTTAATTTTCATACACATCTAACTTGTATTATCTGTTGAGTGCTTACAATAAACATCATAAAATACTCAAAGACACAATCTATGCCTCCTGAAACAATCTGTGAATCCCCAGTGTAATTCACTGTGTGGGAACACACAGAACACTGAGTTTTGAAGACATGGCCCACATTTTGTAAGTGAATAAATGACTGTAAGACTTCCATTTCATTATATCTGTATGCTACTGTATGCATCCACATGCTCCCATTTAAGATAGCTAATACAGAGGTATGCCTCATGCAAGGTATCTGACACGTGCTGACATCCAAGTAAAAGATATCTAACAAGCCTTCAATAAAAGCTATTTGAGTACAATAGATTCGAGTGAAATATCATAATATTTCTGACTTGCTGCTGATGAATAACCAATAGATTACTACCAGACGCAAGCCTGGCTGCCTGAAGACAGAAAAATCAGCACACATCCATTCACCACAGCCTTGGTTCAAACAGCTCTCCAAACCTAGATAAGCTGTTTTTGCAATCAACTGATAGTTTTTCACAACTGTCTGATCTTTACAAAACTTGAGAAGCAGGGACCCACATTTAGGTAATAAAGGCAATGTAATACAAAGAATAATACTGTCTCTGTCACCTAAGTGTAAGTAAAAACCCAAATTTATTGACAACAGTCATCCTAGGTCACCTCTGTCTCAGTTATTTAAGCAACAGGTGTGTGTCTGCTCGTAGCTGACTCTTGAGTCCAGTCCTGCCAACCCCTGTGGCCTTCACCAAGAGACTTATCCAAGAGCTCCCTCTTCCACAGCTTTGGGTGGGGGGTCCTCTCCTCCTCCCTCTTCCACGGCCTGGGTGGCTCCCTCCCTCAGGGGCTCATCTGGAGGCACTAGCTGGTGCACCACACACACACACCACCACAGTGGAGATCAGGGTCTGCGTACCTGCACTGTGGTGGGGTCACCTCCTGGACTGCCTTAGTCCAGGACCCTCTAAAAAGAACATAGAATTCCCAAAGAGCAGGGAACAGAGCATGAGCAGGCAGTAAGCCCTTGTTCTGAGACCTTGCTGAAAGACACATGGCAATTCTCTGAAGAGGAGGCAGTGGACCCAGGCGCAGCCACCATAGCCTCTGTAGGAGTTGTTCAGACCAACATCTGGCATGGGAATGCAGCCTCTTCTCTTTCATTGAAACAGAAAAACTGGCCCTCCTCCAACGGGGTTCAAATGAAACCATATACTGAGATCTAAAAAATCCACTACACCTAAAACAGGAGAATTTTACTATATGTAAATTATACCTTGATAAACCAGATTTTTAAAAAACACCTTCACCTGAAGCCAACAGTTGCTGAGGATTGCTGGAGGCAACAGAGAAGTGAGCAGCACACCCGCTCCTTCCAGATGGAAACTGGGATGTGGTACTGTGTTGGGGAAGCACCTCAGGGCCTTTCAAAGAATAAGGTAATGGGTGCTGCAGAAGAACATGGAGTCCTGTACCACCCATTCAAGCACATAAGACACACCTGAAATAAGGCCTGAGGATCTTAAAAGAGCAGTCAGGAATCCAGACAACCCCTTCAGAGAAGGCCCCTTGTCTTCTTGAATCCCCAGCACAGAGGAGGATAATGAGTCCAGTAGGGGCAGTCCTATGTCCACATGTCCAAAGGACTGCCCCGTCCCTTTCCCCATCAGGGGCAGAAAGTAAGGGGGATAGAACAACAGAGAACTCAGGACAAAAACAGCCCTGAAATCTGGAGATCAGACCCAGGCAAGCACTGCTCAGGTGTGGGCTACAGGATAAGGCAGGTGTGTGACCTGAGCTCCCTCAGGTTCCTGCTACGTGTGCATTGCTCCAACGCTGGGGGACCTGGCTGCCAGTTGGCCTGAGATTCCCCACACAGGGTGAGGATGGGAAGCAGGGTCTGAATGAACACTACTGCCAAGGACCCGCCCATCCTGCCTCCAAGCCCACTCCCAGTCTGCGGGAGAGAGGTCCTGGAAGTCCACATACAGCTGCTCCATGCTGCCCCATTGTATTCCCAGCCTTTAGGAGTGGCGATAGCACAGGCCACTCCCAAAGGCCGGGAATACAATTTTTCCTCTGTGGGTTACCCACCCACCTGTAGACGAAAGGCTGAACAAGATGTCCATGAATGTGGGATGACAACTCGACTCCAAGGATGCTCTGGAACATGGACCAAAACAAAGAAAAGGGGCAGGAGTGGCCTCCTCCCAAGTACCAAGCATGGAGGTGCTGAAATACTCTCCCCCAGTGAGGTGAACTTCCTTCCACTGTCCCCACTACTGCATGTGCTGAAGAACAGAGGACACCAGGCCAAGTCTGCTGGGGCCTCCATCCTCAGCAGATGGCAACCTCAGAAATGAGAACACCAAACCGACTATGTCCTGTGGCAAGCACGAACCTTGACCAGTTCCTGGTGGGCAGCCATATAAGAAGGAAAGCAGCAGACTCCTGCTAGGAGTAGGTAGGTAAAGGAGACTGCAGCTTTCTGGGTCACAAGTGTGAAGCACTCCTCTCTGCTACAAAGGGCTCTGATTGGCTCATCAAGAATCTGGGGACGCTGGGCCCATGAGGCAACTAAGACCTGTCTACCTTCCTTCGGTTGGTACCACACAGACACCACATACGTTCTCCCTCCCACAGAGATCAGCAGACCAGGCACAGCAACAGGCCTACAGTAAACTGTAGAGGCCACACCAAGGGCCAAGAGGATTCCAGCAGGGGCCTCTGTGCTAGCACTGAGTGTCTTGCTCTAGAAGAGACGGCTTGGCCAGGGCTCTCCAGCCTAGCAGAGATGACATTCTCAGGACACAGGGTCCCCTGGGCCAGGTGAAAGGGCTCCAGGAATCAGTGTCCACCTCAGCAGCCCTAACTGGCTACATGTTCAGCCCTCAGTAGGGAGAGGAAGGTCAAGGTGCCAGGGACCATAAGTGTCAGAAACACAAAAGCCCACAGATTCATGGGACTCCAACTGCTTCTGACCTCAAAGGTACTTTTAGTCAAACCAGGGAAGTTTTGACCAGTCCCAGAGATTCTGTCCCCTGCCACACCCTGAAGAATGCCAAGATAACAGCACTCAGCAGAAGGACTCCGGCCTTCAACTACCCCAAAAGTGGCTAATGGGGTTGCTCCTGCTCCACACATTCACTGAGGGGTCTTGAGAAGCTGGGTGCAGGTCTGCCAGGGGACTTGCCCCTGGGACCTAAGGAGTCTACCTGCAGACTGGCTCAGCTCTGCTGCCATGAGGTCTGGTCACCAGCTTCTGTGGTCTCCATCCCACAAATGTCACAGAACAAACCAGGTGTCTGTGAACAGCATTTCAGATTTCAGGAGGCTTTGTACCTGAAACCTGGCTGAGTCACACCTGCCACTGGGCTCCAGTGGGGTGGCACACCTAAGTGTCACCTGAGAGCGCCCTAAGGCCAGGTAGTCTGTAAAACAGTGTGATTCCTGACTCCTGCTTCCCAGTGGGTATAAACAAAGGAACTCTTTACAGCAAAGTGGGCGATACCCAACAGCCAGAGACCTACTCCTTGAAAGACAGTCTAGTTGCAATTTGCAGAAGAGCAGCCAGAATGGCCTGAGCCAGGAAATGCCACCACTGGCCCCTTGGTGGCACCTGTGAGCATCAAAAGCAGGCTGCAGGGTAGCCTCTTTTTTTCAATTACAGAGCAAAAAAAAAGTTTAGAAACTACAGACTGGGAAAATAAAAGCCCTAACATTGCATAGCATAGCACAGAGATGGTAGTCTATGGTTTGTTACACACTGAAAAACAACTAGAAGAGCTTGAAGGTTCCCAACACACAGAAATAACATCCAAGGAGAAGAAAATGCTAATTTTCCTATTTAATCACTATACATTGTAAACATGTCTCAAATTATAACATTGTACCCCACAAATAAAAGCACATTTATGTCAACTTAAAAATAATTTTAAAATATACTGGGGAAAAAAATCTCCTGGAATCCTCCCGTCCATATTACCCTTGCTGACATTGATGACACATGTAAGTCCTCTCTATACCTATTACACTTGTAATTTACTTCATTCATGAACAGTATTAAGAAGTCCTTCCCGTGAGGGTCATCAAGGTCCTACTCAGAAGAGGCATATAACTACCCCACCTAGTCGCTGCTGTGACATCGAGACTACTTCCAGCTCTCTCTCACCACATATGGCCCAGTGAATGACCCTCCAGGACCCTCACAGAACCCGCCCATCAGGACATGTCATGCTTACTCAATTTCCAAGGAGGCCATCTGGGGCCCCAGGAAAACTGCAGAACTCCACACCAGCACATGCTCACTGGCAGTGTCTGCAATGCATATTATCTGCACAAGCTACTTCTGTCTCCTCCCTGTGAGCTGCCTGTGGTATCCTCTCCTAGGGGTCTCTAATGGGATGCACATCCTGCTCATTGCTCTGGAAGATCCTACCTTGTTTTTGAAGTACACCTCGATGGGCATGATGAAGCCAGCGTACCCCGACTCCTCCACTTTGTAGGGGGGCTCCTTGCACACTAAAAAGAAAGGGAAAACCATCCATCAGCCTCCTGCTCTTCCAAAGGCCCAACAAGCAGCAGTAGCAGCTCCCCCACTCTGCTGTCCTCCCTCCTTCTGAAGGCAGCTTTTCAGGAGGGCGTGCTCCCCCAGGGAAGTCAGGAAAATTGCATGCCAAAAGGTGCCTGGGAAATAAAAGGGGGCAGAGCTAGACAGGAAAAAGGTGAATGGACCACTGGAACATCCAGCAGACAGAGTAGGAAGGGGCACAAGACTCTGTCTTCTAGGCACTTTCTCCTGCCAGAGAAGGCTGCACAAGTTCAACTGACTCAGGTATGAAAGACCTGGAGCCTCAGCCTCTTCAGTGAGGAGCACCCAACAGTCCTGACCTCCTCATCACTGGCTACACCATGTGCACACACCCTCCTCTGTGCCAGGGACAGGCACACAGGATATGCAGGAAGGATCTCAGAGGGTCTGCTCCTGGGTTCTACATTAGCACCAAATGAGAACAGTCCAAGCCATTTGAACAGCCAGCCTAATTAACCCAAAAATTAAAAAAAAAAAAAAGGGAAGAAACAAACAGTAAAATATATATAAAATTATATATACCTATAATTTCATTCAAAGTAAACCATTCATGTTTAAAATAAATAAAATCTTAAAAACATGGTAAATTTAAAAAATTTTTTAAAAATCCATCCATGTTTCCACATTTCTACAGACATTATACAAATACCATGAATATACTATTCCCCTGCTTTTTTTTTTTTTTTTTTTTAATATTTATCTTTTTTAGTTCTCGGCGGACACAACATCTTTGTTGGTATGTGGTGCTGAGGATCGAACCCGGGCCACACGCATGCCAGGCGAGCGCGCTACCGCTTGAGCCACATCCCCAGCCCAATTCCCCTGCTTTTAACTAAAATCAAGACATAAAGATCAAATCCCTTATTCTCCATCCCTCCCTCTCCAGAGGCTATCATTCCTGGGAGAAAGGAAGAATCCTGCCAATTGCTTGTGAGGTTTTTTAACCACTTCCCTGAGGTCGGAAAGATATGTGAAGTTTGCATACTGAATGACATATTTCAGTGAGTTTGGGGTAAGTCTATAAAGCCACCATCATTACCAAGGCCAGAGGCATTCCTTCACCTCCCAGAGCTTCCTCCTGCCCTTTGATTGTTTTTCTCTTCCTAAGAATATTTAATGAAGACCTACTCTCTGAGCAATGTTAAGCACACAATACAGTACCAACAACAATCAGATTCTACTAAAGATTGCTTTTGTTGACCACCACCACCCTATACCCTGTCCCTAGCCCTGGGCCCCCACCCCAATCGACTTCTCTGAGTTGGACTACTGTAGATGCCACATATAAGTGATATCACATAGTGTTTACCTTTCTCTGTCTGGCATACTTCATTTTAGAATATCAATTGTTTAAAAAAAAAAAAAATTTTACGTGCACATATCTGCATAAGTAAGTTAATTCTTTAGTGGGCCCCAGAATTGGCTAGAAAACAGTGAAACATAATGAAACATGACATTTAAACCTTAATTAGCTGGGTGTGGTGGTGCACACCTACAATTTCAGGTACTAGAGAGACTGAGGCAGGAGGATCACAAGTTAAAGGCAACGTGGGCAACTGAGCAAGAACTTGTCTCAAAATAAATAAAAAGGACTGAAAATAAAGCTCAGGGGTAGAGCTCCCCTGGGTTCAATTCTCAATGTAAGAGGGGGAAAAAAAAAGACTTTTCTTTCAAAAAAAGAGAAAAGGCTCTCAAATATCAACCTTGTATGTATATATAGAAACAAACTTGGCAAGCAGGGAGGGCAAGCCTGGAGTGACTAGGGACCCTTGAAGGTAGGGCTAAACAGCCAGCCTCGCATGGAACCCAGTCTGCAAACTACAGGGAGGGAAAGGCAAACTAGAGGAGCCTGTGGCTCCTGAAACCTGGAGCTGCAAAAACTGGCACAGGGGTCAGTGATACCAAGGCTCCTTCTTACCCACCTCCACTGTCCCCCTGATGCAGCCCCCGGTTCCCTTAGGGCCCAGCTCCACACCAATGCCATCACTCTCCAATCCCCTGGCTGCCGCTTCTTCCCCTCCAACTGCCTGCCCTGTCCCTACAATAGTCCTAACACTCACCTCCATGCAGTGACCTACTAAAGTCTATAACAACCACCTCTGCCAGGCACTCTAACCACTTCACTGACACCAGGCTCTGCAGGTAAACCACTGCTGCTACCAACTGCAGTAACTACACCTGGCTCACTCCTCCATTCCTCCAGTCCACTGCTCATGGTCTGACAGTGTCAGGAACTTAGAGGACAACAGAAGCCACAAGACTACCTCCAGCCCCTTGTTGTCACTTTCAAACTGGGTAAGGCAGGAGCAGTCCTGCCTGCTGGACAATCTGGATCAGTAGGGAGAATCTTCAGCCTGGGGAGAATTGTCCCAGATGGCTTACAACCAAATCTCCATTCCAGCCTGTCTCTTTTGGCTCCTTGGACAGGTTGCTGGAGATGTTGGACAGGGAACTCAGATATAGCTCACCCACACAGACTTCTGATGCATCCCTAAATCTGCACCTCTCCAGTGCCCCACAGTCAGGGACCCAGGTTGCCCAACACTCACCCAAGGATCTGAAGGAAACTGGCTCCTCTCCCAAGGCTCACCTGTCACCAACCACTATCAAACGGGCCTTCAAACTTATAAACTGCCCAAGAATGCAGCCCCTGGCCCACATGCTACACCTCTCAACAAGAAATACTTCCTAGCACCTCACTAGCCGCCTAGCCCTAAGTTTACTTCTACACCATTCCTGCGTGGACAGCCAGAAAAATCTATACTTTTCTTTTTTTAGTTTGGAGGGGGCCACGGTGTCCCCCAAACTCTTGAGTTCAGCTCAAGCAATCCCCTGACTCAGTCTCCCAAGTGACTGATGTGACAGACACATGCCATCTTGCCCACCTTAAAAACAAGATACATTCGAAGGGGCAAATTAAAAAATAGGAATGGGCTCTTAAGAAGATATTACAGGGGTTGTAGCTCAGTGGTAGAGCACTTGCCTAGCATGTGTGGGGCACTGGGTTCCATCCTCAGCACCATATAAAAGTAAATAAAGATACTGTGTCCATCTATAACTAAAAAAAAAAAAAAAAAAAGACGATATTACAAATATACACTGTTTTTCAATTCAATTGGATGAATAGAAATTAAAGGAAAGCAGAACAAAAAGACACATTTTGTTAAAAAAGTGAGACATGAAGAAATGATTCAGCAGATTAAATGATCCCGCTGACAGCGGCTGCCATTTCTAAGCATCAACTATGCAGTGCTCACCTCAGCTCACTTACTGCTCACGATGATCTTACAAGAAGATGCAATTTTTCTCATTTTACAGATGAAAGATTTAAGCCCAGGGAAGTTAAATGATGAGCATCCAAAAAGAAGAAAAAAGAAATACACAGATGGAAGGAAACTGTCCCAGGTGTAGATAACTTTCCAGAGCTAAAATAAAGACACCAAAATGTCATAATACACTGAACAACAGTAACAAAAATCCCAGAAACATGTCACATGAAACATCCTAAATGCTTCTGGAAAGAAAAACAGGACACAGCAGCAGTACCCAGACCCACAGCCTCAGACTCTTCAGAGGGATGAAGGACGCTTTCAGAGTTCTAAACCATATAATTCCAGTAATTCTCATCCAGCATGTGACACCCAACCCCACCATCACTCTGCTGCAAGAAGAGAAGGACTCAAAGAGGTCCCTTCCCACATAGCTTTCCTAGGGAACTTCTTAAGTAATGAGCCTCTTGGGACAGCACTTGAGAAACTATACTACTAAAAGGAGAAAATAACCAAAACAAAGAGGAACAAATCAAATCCCCCCAAGGAGCGCAGTGAAGAAAAGGGCCAGCGTGAGAGCCAGAGAGAAGCCAATCTGATTAGAGGCAGAAGGCAAAGGGAAGCACACAGAATGCTCAGAGTAAAGAAAAAGACCAAAACAACACTCCACCAGACAAAGACAAGTGACATGGTCAAGACAGGAGAAAAGGAAGATGTGCTAAAGACACAAAACAAAAAGCAGCTGCAAACAGTTACTCAAAAAATCATAGCCCCAAGTTTAACCCAAAATGCTGAAAAGAACCGATTCTGACCTTGAGGGCTTTAGAGCTAGAAATTAGGGACACGGTGAGGGGGAAAGAAACCCTGACATCTCACCATGTGCTGATTCATTTTTCAGAGACACTCTCCCATCAGGGAATGATGATCTGAGTTTCAGCTCAACAAACTTAACCATGTCAAGAGCTACCCTCAACAGAAGGGTGAAGGAAGCTCAAGAAGAGGCAGGGCCCTTGATCAGGTCCTTTTCATTTACTCATTCATTCAATAAGTACTTGGTACAGGACCACAGCATCCTAGCAAGCACTGGGGACAGAGAAACAAACAAAATAGACAGAACTTCTACTTGCAGGTAAGGGAGGAGATAAATAAATATGTTAAGATGGTGCTAAGGAGAAAAATGAACAAGCTCAGCAACATGAGGCTATGTAGATGTGTTGGGGAAAGAGACTACAATTCAGACTCAGCAGGGAGAGGATGTCCCAAAAGGACCACGGGTTCCATCTGTGAAAGAACCCAAAGGTAAGCACGGCCAGGTTCTCACCTCATCATGCAAAGTCACAAAGAAGCAGCTGGGAAAAGGAGTGGAAAAGCACATCCTGAGCATGGGCAAGGCCCTGGGTTCCATTCCCAGCGTGAAAAACAAAACAAAAAAAGCCATAAAAAGAATGAAAAGCAAATCATTTAACTATAAACAATGTAGAAAGGATGGTGGGGAAATAGAGGTATTTTGGGATAAGTTCCAATTTCATGCTGGTAAATCAATAAACATCATTTACATTTGAAAAACAAATCAAGAAATAGTTAGCAAATCAGCTGGTGTTAAGAACACACTCTAGGGGCTGGGTGGCTTAGCGGTAGAACACGGGCGGGACCAAGGTTCGATCCTCAGGACCACATAAGAATAAAGGCATTGTGTTGTGTCCATCTACACCTAAAAAATCTCTCTCTCCTTTAAAAAAAAAAAAAAGCACACACTCTGGAAAAGGTTAGAAAGATTGCTGGTAGGGTAGTAAGATTGGGGGAGGAGATGGGAATCTACCACTCCCTACCTCAACCATTTCTGCCCTATTCAATTGTTATAATGAAAGTGTATTTGATGTGAAAGATACTTTTTAAATATATGAAATACCATTCCAGAGGTATTCACCCCCCACTCTTAAGAGTTGATCTACTTTTCATTGAAAACTGGAAAGATATACTCTGACACAATTTCTCTCAGTGCAACAGAGTGAACTGGGTATTTGTCTTTGATAGACTTGATGACCTCAGCAGTTCTCTTGAGATACATTTGAAGCAGCTGCCCTGTACTAGACACCCAGACAGACTGCAACAAACAGGTCTCAGCCACTAATAGAAGGGTAGCCACAAACTGACACTGTAGGGGAATGAGCGTCACCAACCACTCCATCTTTCAGGGACCTGAGAATGTGTACTCAGGCAGATGCCTGGCCTGCTCTGTTGCACCCTTTTCCATGTCTTCCTCCCAGGAATCCTGAGAGGCCCCAGGCTGCAGGTCTGTCACCAGGAACACAAGGTATGACACCAGGCATGGAGTAAAAGCACGATGAATGCAAATCATTACTACATGACTTCTAGGAACTACTTGGGCATGCATGGTGGGAACTGAAGAGAAAATAGCTTCCAAGCAGACACAAACCATCATCCTGGGTTGGTCCCCATGCTCCAAGCACAGGAAGAAGGGGAGAGGACAAGGGAGAGGGAGAAGGAGAATGCAGTGGATACTGCCAGAGGAGAGAAAGGGAGGCAGCTTCAGCTTATGCTCTACCAGCATCACAGGTAACACCTGGACAAATGTCTGGCTATGCCAGTAATTAAACCAGCAGTGGCTGGTTGCAGACCAAGGGCAGTTTGCTAACCTCCTCCCACCCACTTTAAAGCATGAGCAGCTGACCTGGCCCTTTAAGACTCTGTCACCATCTATAAAAGCACAACATGGTGAGAAGAAGCCTGGACCCTATCTATGGACAGCCCAGCAGGAAGTGCTATGCAAATGGCTATGTGCTATGCAAATGGCTCTTTTTTTTTTTTTTTTTTGTAGCTGTAGATGGACAGAATGCCTTTATTTTACTTGTTTATTTTTTATGTGATGCTGAGGATCGAACCCAGGGCTTTGCACATGGTAGGCAAGCGCTCTACCACTGAGCCCCAGCCCCAGCCCATGGCTCATATTCTTTTTATTAAAAAGTGCTGAGTATTTGCTGTTGTCAGTAACCCTATCTGCCATCTTCTAAAAGGCTAGGAATAAAGAAAAAAGGGAGAAGGTGAAGACAAAGCAAAAATGAGGAGGGAAAGGAGTGGCTGAATACTGAAGAAACTATAAGAAAAAGAAATGCTGCTGTTAGCGATGTCAAGTGCATGTCCTTTCAAAGTGCAGTTTCTACTTCTGTGGCATTTCACTCCCTGCTCGACAGCTAGCCTCTTACAGGCAAGCTTTCTAAACCACTCCTGTGCCCTGGAACACCTACACTGCAGGTGGAGGGATCAGGGGTGGCCCTGCAGCAGCTCCCCACCCCCCAGCACAGCAGTTCCCCTTGAACACACCTGTTCGAGGAATATTTATTGGGGGCTGGGATGTGGCTCAGTGGGAGAGCACTTGCCTAGCATGCACAAGGCCCTAGATCCATCCCCAGCACTGGAGGGAAAAAAGTATTGTACCCCCCATAATGTGCCAGGCCTTGAGCCTCACACTGGGAACTGGATGATGAGAAAACCAGCTCTAGCCCCCCAAAACACTCAGAAGAGACCAACCTTGTTCCCAGATTTCCCAACAAAGCCATGCCCAGGGTCCTTTCCAAGAAAGCCATCTCTGATCATAAAGAGGGTTAATTCCCAATTCTGTTCCTTCAGACCATGTCCTGTAGAAAGGCCAGGGCCACACTGTCACAGGTGGAGACATGGGTGGGGTACACAAAAGGGGCACTCATGTTTAACAAGCAGCAACCTATGTGGGACTGGGTAGGGGAGTCAAGATAGGATGACCGGAACTCCTTTTCTTTTTTCTACTCCACATACTATGAACTCTTAGAATGGCACCCTAATCCAACTCAGGCCCAGTGAGCAATGTCCTGATTACTCACCACCTGGCTGCCATCTAAATGATAACAACAGTCACCACTTTCTTTCCATTCCCCTGTGACTGACTCGACAGTTGGAGAAGAGTCTGGTGCACTGTGTGGAGGAGGAGGCTGAGGACTACCTCAACATCAGCCTGGCTGGGCAGCTCCCCACCCCCAGCACTTGCTACAGAACACTTTCCTTCCATCTTGACACAATACATGGGCATGTGGGTCCCAAATTCCAGGAGGCAGGGACAGCCTTTGGAGAAGGAACGCTGGGTAGGTTAGCATTCCTAACTCAAGGCGGGGGCTACTCACCACGTTTGGGCTTGGGGAAGCTGTCGTGCAGCCGGAAGATCACCTTCTCTACGAAGTGCTGGATTTCACATTGCTCTGGGCCACGAACAAACACCATCCAGTCGTGGGTGAACCCCTCCGTGGTGGGCTTCTTGCGCAGTTGGGCACGGTGCCCCAGCTCTAACTTGACCTGAACGGTGCACTGGGGGCAGGGAGAGAGATTGGAACAGGTCAGTACAAAGCTCAAAGCAAGGCACTATGCAGAAATGTCCTGCCCCCTCACCCACAGGCACACTCAGTAAAAGCCTCCAAGCAGAGAGACAGGTTTCCAAGCTAGGGAGGGGAACATGAATGCTTCAGTGCTTCCAGGGCACCAGCACTGAGCTGAGGGCCCCACAAGTTCTGGCTCCTCAGCAAGTGGCACAGGGCCTGTGTGTCCTTCATCTGCCTTCAGGTCCTCTGCTCCACCTGCACAGCCTCGTCTCTGGTCTTCCTCTCAGCTCAGTTGACTCCTGCCTCTAGGCCCTGGCACCTGCAGGAGCTCTTCTTCTAGACTTAGTACCCTAGCTCCTTTTCATCACTCAAGACTCAGCTGTCACCTCTGCAGGGAAGCTTCCCTAATGGCCCAAGCCAATAGCACTTTGACATTCTACATCACTTATTGGGGGCGGGAGGGGGGGAGAGTGCTGAGGATTTAATCCAGAGGTGCTTCACCACAGAGACACAGACACATTCCCAGCCCTTTTTATTTTTGAGTCAGGGCCTCACTAAGTTGCTAAGGCTGGTCTCGAACTTGCGATCCTCCTGCCTCAGCCTCCTGAGCTAAGATTACAGGAGGGTGCCACCATGCCCTGCTACCTATTTCATTCTTCTCAAGAAACCATCAGAAACCATCTTGCTGATTGCTGTCCACCTGCTCTCCTCTACCATCAGCTCCTCCCAAGTGAGATATCACTGAATACAGATGTGCAACCCAGACTGCAATTCTGTGGATGAGGAAACTGAGACTCTGACAGTAAGTTGCTAAGTGGCACTTGCAAGGTAAGGAGCAGCCTCAGATTTGAGACTGGGTCTGTGTAGCCAAGGGCCACTCCCCTGACTACTCTGCTATCCTGCCTCCCTGGCCAGGGCACAGCACTCACACTTTCATTTTCATGCACTCTATATGAGGGCAGGGGCCTTTCTTGCTCCCCTAAGTCATCCCTAAACACTGTTTTTTGGTTTCAAAAGAACCAAGGACAGTTCCCAGTAGGCAGGAGGAAGCAAGTGTACAGCCACCTGCTGAAAGGACCCAGGTAGACTGGCTGCTGGCAGCGGAGCTCCCTGCCGTTCACGTGCCTGGCATTGTTTCCTGAACTACAAGGCAGATGAGGCCAGTCCCCCTCCACTGAACACAAAGCCACAATCCTTGAAAGCACTCTTAATGTCTAGGCTGATTACCAGTGGAACTACTGTAAATATCCACTCTAGTTTGCAAAAACCTCCCCAGACACAACCCTGACACCTAGTATCAAATACAAGAATGTTACAGAATGAAGCAGAGGCCAAGTGGACACTTGTTTGTAAGTACCAAGATAAGGAGGAGAGACATGAAGGGCAAGTCCGAAGCTGCCTGTGTGACACTCCCACTCACTGGGCTCTACCAGCCTCCCAGATGGAGCCACCCTCCCCTGCCCTGGACTCCAGAACTCCCATATCACCTTTCACCTTCTTTCTAAGTGACTGTGTGCAATCCGAGGCACCTGCCTCTGTTCAGACCTCACCACTGGCTGAGTGAGCCTGCCCCCACCTAGCTGGTCTCCTCCCCTCTGCCCTCATCCCACAGTTTGCCAACCCCATCAGAATGGAGTGCAAGCTCCAGGCACTTCTCCTGCCTTCCACCTGTTTCTTTCCAAATATTTAAAAAGTGCTCTCTTTTTCACACTTTAATATTATTTTTGAAGTCAGAATCCAAGGCAGTCCAGATGTGTAAATTTCAGGTTTTGAGGGCCTCCCACTCTGTATGCATGTTCACACATGCGCATTCCTGGGCACACACACGTAAGCTGTTACAGTAGTCAGTGGTGTGTCTTAAAGAATCCCAGGACTGAGAAAACACAGGAAATGAAATGCACACTCTGTGTTCCAGCTCCATCACAGGGCTGGCCAGCCCCAAACACTCCAGGAATACCCACCCTCTGTGTGCATTTCCTCCACCCCACAGCCTGGAATACCTTAAACTCATTTCTCTTCTTGTCAAAATTCTACTCATCCCTTAAGTCCCAACTCAAAGACTATTTCCTCCAGGGCCCCTTTGATCACTGTGCCAGAACCAATCATCAATGAAGTCTGTGGCCAATTCTTTCTGGGTTATTTCCTGCTGTCCCCCTCATGCCCCTGAGAAGTCTCCAACAAGAGGGACATCTTGTTCATCCTTGTCGCCTCTATCCTGGAAGCATAGTACACAGTGCATCAACAACACTGGATTAATTTAGCCAGAGGACCTTCTACATCGAACAGTTCTGAGGAGCACCATCCAAGAAGGAAGGGCCAAGAGGCAGATAAGGACGGGTGGCTCCAGTGTGTGTAGAGCTGGCAAGAGACTTGTAGTTCCAGGCACTGGGCAGCCTGGTGTAAGAAACAGGGCAATTTTTTGTCAATTTAAAAAATTAATTAATTTTTAAAAAAAGAAATGGGGCAGAAGGAGTTCCCCTGGCTCAGGGTGATGGTCCCTTTGGGGCTTCCAGAAAGAGAGCAGTAACTCACTTAGGACACTGGAGGGAGGGGCTGACACAGAGTGGAGTCCAGATTGGACACAACAGGGATGATAATGGACTATATAAATGGATGATGGATATGGGGAATGGTATCTGAGTAAAATCCTCCGGTGATCTGTGTATGGCCAGGGCTACAGGAAGGAAAGGGAAAGAAGCAAACAAGGGCCATGGCAGCCTGCTAGGAGGCAACCAGAGAGGCCAGAAAGAGGAAAACAGAACCTGAAAAGGGAAACCGGCAAGAGCCCTGGGTGAAGAGATTCAGTACTCCTGGGACACACACAGAGGGCCGGTGACTAAGTAGAGAGACAAATGGGAGGTCAGCGCACTCACACAGCCCGGGCACCTGGGCAACACACAAGGCGAAACACTCCAGCAAAAACCAGAGATGAGGAATAACCATCTGGACAAATAAGTAACACTCAAACCAACCACAAGCATCTATGTGAATAGTGCTAAATATGGAGAATGTTCAACCCAAGTAGCATCCCCATGACCCCTAGTGGGCTGTAATCACTGTGTACACCTCACACCCACTGACCTCTACCTCTTTACCCAACCTGCTTCCACACTGAGAATGGCTGTGAAGGTCACAGGTGAAAATGACAACAACGCTATATGGAGAATGAATTCTGCTTCCCTCGAGTTCACTCCTGCATGATGACAGTCTCCTCGGAATCAGTTATGCACCAATCCAGCTACTCAGCCCTCGGCTGGCTTCCCAGCATTTTTGATGACATGAAGTTCCCACCCAGGGCATGCCAGCAGCAGAGCAGTTATTGTGAAAGAATGGACCACAGCTTCATCAGAGAGGGGGAGAGTGTAGGCGCCAAAACTGCGCTGCAGTGGCCAAAGTAAACAGGAAGGTTCCGAGGCAGTGATGGGTAATCTTCGCAGCCGGCTGGCGGTGCCCAAAGCACCACCCAGCGACATCTATGCCCCAGGGGCTGGCGCCAACTGCAGACTGAACACCCTTGGTTAAGGGCATGTCAGAGACTTGGTGGACAGATTCAAGGCTCCCTGGCCCAACCTCCTGCACACTCCCCTGAATGCTGGAATCTGCTAAGAAATAAAGAGAGTGGGATAACACAGATTCTGTTCCACTGTTTTAAAAAAAAGGAAGCATTGATTCAGTAACATTAGAGCCACATTCACTGGAGCCAGCAAGCTGAGCCCTGGCCAACTACCCTGATGGGTCAAGTCATGATAATTTATTACCACAGTTAAGCCAATTCCAGAGTCAACTGTTAACATCCCCTCCTTCCTCTACTCCACCTGGACTCCCTCCATGGCCATCAGAACCAAAGATTTGAAGCAAACCAACCAGCTGGTTCTCAAGGAGGGTGGCCTGGCAGAGAGGCCAGCTGCTCAGGTTAAGCTCCAGACTCTCCTGGAATGAGGGAACCTCACCTGCCAGCAGCTGTCCCCACCCCCCACCTCCAGTATCCCACACAGATGTCTCAACATCTGTGTCCCTCACAGGCATCAGGACAACCTGCTACCTGGAGCCCACTTTTGGAACTCTCAGAATGGAGGGCAACCCCAAGGGGCTCAACCTGTGACTACCACTTCCTGCATATTTGGGACTCACCTCGATGCCCACTCCCCAACAAAAGCCCAGAACAAAGGGAAAGTTCCAGGTCTGCCCTGGAAAGTGTTAACCATTTTACTCCTGGAAAATCACCCAGAAGACAGCCAGTGGACAGGGCGGCCCAAGGGCTCGGGGGCCATCTGGGGACAGTTAAGCTTGGGCAGGAAGCCTCAACTGGGACACTTCCCTCCATCCTGGCCAGCTGGCAGAGGGCACTTAGAACCAAAGGGCCAGAATCCTAAATCCAGCAAACCAGGCACACAGATCCTAGAGGGCCGCTTCCAAGGCCTCCTTCCACTAAAGAGAACAGCTCTTCCCAGGTGTACACTGAAAAGCCCCCACCCCCAACCCCTGGCAAAGAGGAAGAACCTTTTCTGACAGCTCCAGATTCTAGGTCCTTTCTTCTGATTTGGTCAGCCAGCCAGCTTCTCCTGGGCCCTGCCCTGTGTCTGGGACCCAGAAGGCAGGTCTTTGGCAGTGAGTGTATAAGGTTTCCTCTAATTTTCTGGTGGGAATTCTTTCCAACAAATGCCCCTTCCTCTGAGAATCTGGTATAAGTACACCCAGAATTTGACAACTGCACCTAATTCCAGGTGCACCAATATGCTCCCCTCCCAGGAGACAGTGCTAAGTCTTATCCCTCTTCAATACCACCTGGTTGTGCAGAGGTGCTGGCCGAGTGCTCCAAATACACATGCTGATGGGGCCAGGTAATGGAGCTTGGGCAATTCCAGAGAATGGTAAAACAAGACCAAATAAGTCACACTTTGCAGAACCTTCTCCCTCCAGGTCTAGCTGGGGGTTCTCAGGGTAGCCACTGAATTAAAATACAAGAAAGGGAAACAATGGATTGTCCCCTGCGACAATCCTCATAAGTGAGGAATGCCTGCCCAGAAGGTGGGGACAAAGCCAATCACTGTAGCAATGGCCAGTGGCCAGCACCTCTAGTCCTTTTCTGGCTCTATCTACCCTGGTTCCTCTGACCCAGGGCAAAAGGTTAATGACAAAGGAATATGAAGGGGTTTGATGAATTTCTCTCTAAACAATCAGGTGTACAAACCACATGGATATGCAAATACACCCACAATACTCAGTGTTCAGGTTCCTGGTAAGACAGAACTGCACCTGTCAGGGACCAGACATTAAAGTACAAGGTGCCCAATGATGTGCAGACACAGCACCAGGTGTCTCCTGGGAACAAGGGGAACAGTCTTGGGTGATATTTTCTGAATGTGTAAAATCCTAATCAAGGCATCTGTTGCCAGAGGAGGAAGGCCTGGTTGCAAACAGACTGATTCCTGGCTGCTCTGATTTAACCAACACTTGGCAAAGAGAGAGAAACCTTGTGTTAGACACAAAGGGAAAAAGACACTGGTGCCTGCCCTCAAGTATTTTACAATGTAACAACTTGAGAATAAAACTTGGCAAGGAGACTTTCCAACCTTTATGATTGGTAGTAGAAGGCAAACTAGTCACTCTGCAGTTAATACTCTGGGTAATCCTGAGTTTTTCTAGAAGTGGTTTGGGGATAAGAGCAGAGGTACCAGGACCTTGACCCATGTGAGGACCTTCTTAGGTCTGCATTTCTACACCTGCACAATGGCTGGCTAGGGAGCTGCTTGTGGCACCAACATCAAAAACAAACCTCCCTCTGGGAAGAGTGTCATCATAAGGCAGTCACTCTCCAATCCACACTGCAAAGCCCCCACATGCAAAGAATCAGCAAGCAGCAATTCTATCTTCTGATGTGACTGGGCTGTCACCACCTCAGAAGCCAGGCCACTGTGAAGGGCTGGCTCTGTGAATGAGAGGCTCCCTGGTCCTTTTGAACAAGAGACCAAATGGCTGCTGACACTACTTCCCATCTCCCTGGTCCCCACTGACCCACTCCTCTATCCTTCCCCAATGTTTTCAGCATCCACTCAGTCTCCATTCCACATCACACCCCAGCCTCAGAGATAAACCCACTTCTCCCAGACCAGACCCCTAAGTAAGCTGAGCAAAGATTTCACTCATACCTCTACAAAGAAAATACAAATGCCACAACAGCACCAGGGCAGGTGTGGAGCGGGAAGAGCAGAAGAGTCATACATGTGGGTGCAGGTTAGGGCAAAGAGAACCAGAAAGACCTTTTCCTGCCCATGGGGAAAAGATGCCAATGAGGAGAAGTTGGGACAACAGAGCAGAACGGGAAATCCCCTTCTTAGCTGAATCTGAAAGACCTATGGGAAGGTCAGGTCAGGAAAGAATCAAAGCCTCCAGAAGCTAGGGAGCACTGTTTCCCACTGTAGTGAGGCACTACAGGTCTGGGGACAGGCAAGACTCCACAGATTCACACTCACCTACTTGGTAAGTGACACCATTCTCCAGCCTCCCCAGGGGTCTTACTGTCATCAAGAGATAGGGATAGAGCTCTCTAAAATCTGCATGAAAGCATGGTGGGAAAGGCCAACTAGACTTCAGACCCTCATCCTTCCCTCAGGGGCTGGTTTCACTTACAAATACTTCTGCAACCATCAAGACCAGTGCTGCCCGATGGAACTTTCTACACTGATGGAAATGTTCTCTCTAGGCAGCCACACAAAGCAGCTGGCAACTCAGTTGTAGTTACTGAGCACTCAAAAGGGTGACTGGGGTGACTGAGGGACTGAATTTTTTAAATTTAACCGGTTAAATTTAAAATAGCTACAGGTGCTAGTGACTGGCATCCTGGACAGTACCAGCTCTTGAAGGGGGGTACCACCTGAGTGGGACCTATATCTTCCTGTCACAAAGCAAGAATTATCACCTCTTTCTACCGTCCCACTTACATGACAGCCACCAGACATCTAGGATCCAACCCATCAAAAGGGGAAAGGCCTAAGACCTGGACTAAGGAGTAGGGACAGAGGCCATACTCTATGCCTTTTGTGTTGCCAAGAAACATCCCAAGGGTGAGATTCATTGACAACAGACATTGAAGGGACATTCCATTTGGTTAATTCACTAAGAATTACAGGCAGCAGGCTCTATGTCTCCAAAGGAAATCATCTGACACCACACTGCAAATCCACCAGCCAGGTGCCATGCCCTCTGCTCATCTCCTGATAGAGTAACACCAAAGCTAGAAGGGAAGCCACAGTGAGTGGGTGCCAGGATATCATTGAGATGCCACCTGCCTCAATGATCCTATGCCACAGGCATCAGGACTGGCAGGGGGAAGATCCCTTGCCCACAGTCCCCAACACCACACAGCCACACAGCGCCTCACCAGACAGAGCCGCCTCTGTGGCGCCAGCAGCCAGGGACGCCCCAACCTGCCCTTGCTAAAGGCAGAGATTTCAGCTGCCACCCCCACAGCCCCACAATGCCTTTCCTGGCTCTGCGCCCCTGAAAGCCAGGGCAGCAGCAGAGAATGAAGAAGTGATCCCGGGTTGGGAGCAGGAGTGACACTGGGTTTGAGAACAGAAGGAACTCAGATGATGAAGAAGAGATACAGTGCTGGGTAAGGGGGGACACTGGGGATCAGAAAGGCCTCAGGTTTACAAGAACCAACAGGATGGGCAGCAGGATGGTTTCCAGATGGAAGGGGGAGCTGCCACCAGGAGTTTGGGGAGCACGGGGAATCCACCTGGGGTTTGGACAGGCTCTCAGATGTGGGGGGAAGAGATAAAAATGAGGTGGAGAGGGGGAAAGGGTAGTGGCTAAAAAGTAAGCAGGTCAGGGGGCTCGGGTAGAGTGGGAGACCCTGAATGTAAGGAGGGGGGCCTAGGGTTCTGGGGAGACTGGGACTGAGAAGCCAGGCCAGTGGCGGGGAGAGGAGCCAGATTGAGGCAAGAGAGCTGGACAGGGATTAAATGTGGGAAGCACAATTGAAAGTCGCGGGGCAAGAGCAATGGTCTGAAGGGTTGGGGTGGTAGGTAGTCAGGTCCCAGAAGAAACTGCTCTGGCCCTGGTCTAAGAGAAGTAGGACTGAAGGCAAGAAACGGTTCTTCAGGCCCGGGGGTCCCAGGGAGTATGAACATAGCCTAAAACCAGATGGGGGCCAAGGCGGCATGGGGGGGTCAAAGTAAGACCAAAGAGAAGGGACACTCTAAACAGGCCTGAGTTCTTGTGGCAAAAGACGGAAGGCTGGGGTCGCGGGAAGATGAGGGGGTCAGGCGAGGGTGCAAGGGGACAGGGATACTCAGGGGAGGGCAGGGACCGTGGCCTAGGAGCGAAGGAGGGGTGCGGGCAGTTCTGGGGACACCCAAATCTGAGTTAAGGCTGAAGGGAGAACAGGCAGCAGGTTGCAGGGAGCGGGTCGGGGAGTCTGAGGCTACTGAATCCAGAGAGAAAAGGAGACATGGGCTGGTCCCGGACCCGAAATGAGAAAAGGATCGGGCAAAATATGGGGAGAGTCCCCAAAGAGGCCCGAGGGGGCTCCTGCGCCGACACGGGGTCCCCGGAGCCGTCTGAGAGGACGCTGGGCCGAACGGGGGTCCCCAGAGTCCGCGGGGTTCGGACGGGCAGCACGAAGGGTCCCGGGCCAGGCTGGACCTGGGGCTCCTGGAGCATCCCGAGACTCTGGGTCGCACTAGAGTTCCGAGGGGCGTCCCAGGCGGCGCGGGGCCAGGCCGGGGC